TCCAGGGCTGTGTCGGTGCTGCCTGTGTTTGCATGGTGAGGAGTGATGGACACACACAGTGACTGTGAGGTGCAGCTGGGTCCCATGTGGGGCCAGCGTGAACCGCGCCTGCCGCTGCCAGGGGTCGTTATTGCCCATCCCCGGGGCTTGGCTCCGTGGGCAGGCAGCGGCTCCAGGCGGGAGGGAGAGAGGGAGGGGTATCCTCAGCGCCAGGGCGTGTTTTGTGCCGGTGCTGGGCGCAGGAGGCAGCGGTAGCAGAGGGCCAGAAACCGTCCACACACGGACAAAGAGAAATGGAACATGTGCAAAGAGACCTGAGCGTGGGCTTGGGGCAGGGCTGCAGCGGCCACAGGTGGCCTTATGCTGGCAAAGCTTAGTCTGGGCAGAGAGACAGTGTCCTTTACCTTAAACTTCTTGTTGTGGTTTGTATTTTCTTTTGAACTTGGAGCGTTCCCAGCCTGTACAGGGGTGGTGTGAGCCTGCTGGGCTCAAGTGAGGTGGGTTTCTGTCTGCGTTTCTTACAATCCCAGACTGGTTTGGATTGAAGGGACCTTAAAGCTCCTCCAGCTCCAACCCCTGCCCCGGGCAGGGACACCTTCCACTAGAGCAGGTTGCTCCAAGCCCCTGTGTCCAACCTGGCCTTGAACACTGCCAGGGATGGGGCAGCCCCAGCTTCTTTGGGCACCCTGTGCCAGCGCCTCAGCACCCTCACAGGGAAGAGCTTCTGCCTGAGAGCTCATCTCAGTCTCCCCTCTGTCCATCTGATGAAAGCTAAGATCTAGCTGTAGCCTGTTTGTGTGCTATCATTATCCCAATCACAGGATTTCCAGAAGGAACCGGTGTTGTCTTTTCCATAGCAGTTTTCTCTCTGCCTTCTCAAGCAGAGCGTGTTAGAATGTGGCCTGCTCAGGGAGGTGTGCAGTAGCTGTGCATTTCATTGAGCCATTCTCAGCTGAACAGAAGTCTTGTGGCACTGAAGACTGAAACGGTACATTTGAGGGGTAGAAATAGCCCCCTCCCCTCACTGATTGTCATCTTTCCATTCGTTCCGAACAAGGGGCCTGTTCCATGTTGTATTTTCATGCTCAGCTTAAGTTTATATAAGACTGTTTCCACCCACTGTGTCTTTCTTCTGGTGCTCTCTGATCCCGTTTTCCCTCTTGGTGTGAATGCTCATGTGCCTGTGTGCTGCCTCGGAAGCCTGCAGCAGTGAGGGGTGCTGGGGTGTGCAGTGGAACTCGGACTGAGGGGACTCCAGGACCTGCTTCCTCTTGCAGTTTCAAGAATCAGACAGAGTTCATCTGAAGCCGCAGGCCCAGCTGCCAACGTCTCCTTCATTTATGTGTTTGATTTACACTGTGGCTGTGCTCAGCTCTCAGCTGGTTTATCATGCCATGCAGTAAGCATGTTGTCTGCTGCCCATGGAATCCATGCACGAATCATGGCTGCATTTTTCATGCCATGACAGCACCACGGTCCTCTTTGCACCAAATGTTTGGGGTTTGCTTCTAGTGCCAGGGGAGACCCGATGCTGAAGCGACCCGTGGTAGAAACAGAGGCGAGGAGCTGAAGCTGCTTTGATCCCCTGGCCCTGCGCCCTCCTCATTCCCAGGAAAGCTCTAACCCTCTTTGCAGGAGAAAGCAGGCAAATAGTGAGCTGTACTGCATCCTTTTTACAGATTCTGGAGCAGTAAAGGGAAGTATCATCTTGTGGCCAGGTGGAGGGGCTGTGGAGAAGAAATGAGGAAGGAAAAACAGGTTATAGTTACCTTAATGGCCTTTTTTTGTTTGGTTTGGATTCTGCCCACGTACTCTCGACTCCCTTTGTGCCAGTATTTAACAAACCCCAGAGCTGTACATGAATTTAAAAGGCAGTTTAGGACATCACTGTTACAGCAGAGATTTTGATGTTGGGAAGCTCTCAGCAGCAGCTGCGTGCAGGGAGCACACAGAGCGGTGGGCTCTGAGGGGTGCCGTGGCCGCCCGGCACTGCTGGGCTTCCACACACGTCCCAGCGTCAGCAGTGCCCCTCCTGCCCGGGTGCGTTTCGCTCGGGGGCTGGGGGCTGGGGGTGCAGAGCTTGAAGGTTTTTACTGGTGAGCTCTTGGTGGAATGGAAGTGTCTGAATCGCGGGGTCAGGCAGCACCGGAGCAATGGAGGTGGTCAGGCGAGCTGTGGGTGTGCTCACAGCAAGTTAAAGAACTTGGTGGGTTTTGTTGTCATGTCTTTTATAGGGAAGTATCCATGATACTTGTTATGCACAGGGAATCTCAGAACAATCCAAATAAACAGGTAGAAGAAAAGAACTTCATGTACTTAGGATTGGGAAGCAGGTGTCCAGGTGGCAGTGGTGTGCGGGGCACTTCTGGATTTCTTATGAGGGTGCAATAATGAAAGCATAATTCGATTATTTTTTCATTAACACCAGTTAGAATTCTAGTTAATGGGAAATCAAGAAGTATAATGGATTGTAATGAAATCCTCTGCTAATAAATTGGATGCCTACTTGTAATTTGGTTGGATTTTTATATACTACTTTACTGGGAGGGTCACTGTGTGCATTCAGTGGTATTATGTTTGATTGAGAGCTGCTGGGCATGTCTGAGTGGCAGTTACTCAGGAACGGTTCTTCCAGTTTTTTCTCTTTTTGCATCGGGGTATTTTCTCCTTCTCAGGAGAGATGTTTCTTCCACCCCACTTTTTTCTGATGCTTTGCATTCATGTTAGTGTCTCAGAAGGGAAATGCTTCCTGCAGCAGCTCTGCCATAGGTGTTGGCTTGACAGGAAGCATGTTCTCTGAGCTGGTGGCATTAGATTGTCAAAGAAGCTCTCAAGACTGGTGGAATTAATCTTACTGTAGTTTACTGTCTGTGGGTGCTCTAATAAAGGAAAGTTGCTTGAAAACTTACCATCATTATGTTATGTTCATTATTGTTGTTATGTACCTTTAGAGACCACCGTTTATGCCTCCTCCCATGGGCAGCATGCCACCACCTCCGGGTATGATGTTCCCCCCAGGGATGCCGCCTGTCACTGCCCCTGGCACACCGGCAATGCCCCCGGCTGAGGAGATCTGGGTAGAAAACAAAACTCCAGATGGCAAGGTAAGGAGGTCACCCGGAGCAGCACAGTGACTGCTGTACTGCTGTGGCGAGCGTGTTGCCACATGCAGTCTGGCACCAGGGTCTTGTCTATCCTCGTATTAATTACTCTTAAACCAGGAGGAACTGGACCATTATAAATGCTCCTCCTCCAGAAAAGCAGCTGCTTGATGGTGACATTCTTAACTTGTAGGTCTATTTCTATAACGCGCGCACACGCGAGTCGGCCTGGACTAAGCCAGATGGGGTCAAAGTGATTCAGCAGTCGGAGCTGACGCCGATGCTGGCAGCACAGGCCCAGGCCCAGGCTGTCGGTGCCTCCACACCGACCACCAGCAGTCCTGCGTCTGCAGCGTCTCCTTCCACCTCCTCGAGCACTCAGTCCTCCACCACCTCCACCACCACCACCGCCACTTCTGTCTCACAGACGATTTCCAGTGAGTAACTGAGGGTTCCTGATGCTCTGTGGTGGTGGGGAGCGGATGGGAGGATACTGCTTTGGGGAGTTACTGCAGCAAAAGCTTGGTATCCAGGAGGAAGTTGTTTGAACATGGGAGTATGAGTTTAAAGCACAGTTATTTAATGCAGAAGAACCTTGCATGCCAACCTATTCTTCTTTTCCGATCTGAAATAGTTCTTAGATCTTTGTACATTTTTTTTCTGCTGTTACCACATCATCTCAAAGCTATTTTGCATCCATTTCCTTTTGACTTTAGATAAAGCTAAATTGTATTTCACAACACAAGTTGATCTGAGGTAGCAATTACAGCTGTAGCAGTTCCCTCTTTGTTTCCAAAGTGGTGTCTGTCACTGTAGGAGGCCAGATCTTTGAGTGCTGCTCCTGGGCTGTGGAAAAGAGCTGCTTCTGCTGTACTACTTTTATTAGCATTATTATTCTGACTAAGGCTTGTAGGTTCCCATGTGCTAGGGTTGCACAAGAGAGGAAAAAAAGACCATTAGAGCCATTATTGCTCATTCATGACCTTGGAATAATAGTCTGACACTTACTGCTGTTTACATGGCATGAGCCTATGCTTTTAAGGATTTTCCAGCCAAGGGAACCTCAAGAGGAGAGGGGACTGAATTTATGCAGCATGCATTTTTATACTTAGCATCTGCATATAATATAGTGAATTTTATACTGTGCTTGGGCATCTATGCTAACGAAGTGCCTCCAGTGCAGAGCATCTATATTGAGATGTGTGTTATGTGCTGTAGATCTACTTGCATGGAGTGCGTAAGCAGCAGACATGCACCCAGCATGAGCAAAGCAAGGCACACCTGCTACGGATCAGTTGGGTTCATGTTCCTGTCTACAAGCAGGGCTGCTGAAGCACGGGTCAGGAGTCCTCTTGTTTGACAGTTTTGATCATTGTAGCTGTGCTGGCAAAAATGTGTGCACTGAGTCAGGCCAGAGAGTGTATGGAAGGAGCGCAGTTGCTGAGCTCTTTGGACTCCAGCTGTAGTGCGTAGTTGCTGTGGAATTACTTCATCTTTTTCCTGTAACAGGTGAGACAAGTTGAGCGTAAGTCACCATACAGAATCATGGAGTGGTTTGGGTTGAAGGGACCTTAAAGCTTATCCAGTTCCAACCCCTCTGTGTGGGCAGGGACACCTTCCATGAGAGTAGTTTGCTCCAAGCCCCATCCCAAGTTGCTGCAGAGATCTGTATATGAAAGGGAGTCGAGTTTTGATAACCCTGAAGTTACACTTCAAGTGAACGCCAGAGGGAGGACAGATCATTAGAGTAACAAATAATTTGTATCACACAAAGCATTTTAGGGGGTTTGTTTTAATCGAGAGGTACCTTAGTGCTGTGTTGAGCTGCTCTGTTGAGATATGGTCTACTCTAAGGCCTTTGCTGGGTAACAGGAGTCGGGCAGGAGGTGAATGTTGCTTCTGGCCCAAGGCCAGGCTGCTGAGAGCTGATCCTGCTTTTGGAGTAGCCCTTTACGCACCTTTGCTGAAGTTAAATTTCCTAATGTCAGACGCTGAGAATCTGTTCCACTTCTACCTGTTCTACCTGCTAAACCTTGTCTTTGCTTTCAAGAACTGTTACTGTTGGTGTCTGTGCCTGGGTGATAAAATTTTAAATTTAAAATAGTTTTATATCTCTCAGACTTGGCCTGTAAAAGCCTGTGACTTGTGGCTGAGTTTCATTCTTGTATGGTACTGATTTGACTCAGGTCTTGAAACAAATCACATACTGACTCTCTGCTCTGTTTCCCTGTATTGTAGGCAGTGCTAAGAACTTTCACCCTTTCTGAAACACTTAACAACAGATAAAAATCTTTATTTACATTTGCTAATGCTGGTATGTTATTGGGAATGCTTCTGGTAGTCATTAAGAACTGCAGAAAACACACAGTGTGCCCATATGTAGGATGGTCAGAAGTTGGTGTGGTTCCTGCAGTGTTATTTTTTAATTAGCTCAGTTTTCCAACAGTTCCTCCCCCTCACCAGATCTCACAGTGTAAATCTGCAGGGCTGGTCGGTGGGTTTAAGCAGTCACTCTCCAGCTCCCGCTGGCCAGTGCCAGGCTGTGCAGCTCTGTCTGTCCTCTGTTAAGTGCAGATTTCAGTCCTGCTGCAAGGGTTATGGAATGGAACACTGGTGGTGTATTTTCCCACTGGCAGATACTGAAGACCTGAACAAAAGTGCTTTCCTTTTCCTTGCTGATTGACGCATTTTTTAAGTTGACATTTTCCCATTCTTGGATCACAACTTCACAAGCTCAGCTCTAGGCACGCTGCTGTCATGCACACGCTGCCGCCGTTCTCTTAACAAGCAGACCCTGTGTTCATTTAACAGCAGAACAAGCTTTTCCATTTGAAACTCTCTGTAACGTTCCCTTTCTGTTTTTCTGAATGGGGATACAGAGTAGAATTCCATTTCAGGCTGTATTTGTCCTTTGATACCCCCTTGCTACCGCTGTAGAGACTTGTTAGGTGTAAAGGATGGGACAAAGTAAAACTTGAAACTGAGTTTCTTGGTGAATATTTAATGTTGCAGAGAAGGCAAAAGGGGTTTTTGCCCGTCAGTGTCTTCCTGCTGGTGATATCTAAGAGTATCTGCTTATATCTGTTGGGAAACAGAGCGCCAGTATGTTTGCAGCAAATATATTGTAGTATCTAAGATACAAGGTGTTCTTTGTTGTTTTTTTTTTTATCAGCACCTACCACACAAGACCAGACCCCGAGTTCGGGTGTTTCAGTTGCCACACCATCAGTCAGTGTTTCAACCTCTGCTCCTTCTGCTACACCTGTGCAGACTGTACCCCAGCCAGTCCCACAGACATTGCCTCCTGCAGTTCCTCATGCAGTACCTCAACCAACTGCAGCAATTCCTGCTTTTCCACCAGTAATGGTACCTCCATTTCGTGTCCCCCTTCCTGGCATGCCTATTCCACTTCCAGGTAAATTGGCAAACTGTAATTGTCTTGTCTGCTACATGTCCATGTTGTCAATTTGTTTGCACTCATGTGTCCACTGTGTACAGAACTTGCCTGAATCCTCTCCACTCAGAGTATTTTTGAAAGAATTCAGGGTTAGCAGACAGACTTTTTAATTAACAAAGAACATGAAATTTTTTTGCTTCTAGTCCTTTGATACACATCAGAAACCAGCTGCATTTAAACATGTAATCCTTCTTCTTTTAGATGATAAGAACTGCACTAAATACTCCGTAATCTCATGGCACATGGGTATCTCGTCATCCTGTTGAGCTTCTAAACAGAATCCACACGGGACTCTGAGAATATTGTAGCATTATATTTTACTAATTGCAGTATTACTATAATTTTTTTTCTACTTGCTTGATTTACACCTTAAGTCGTGTACATAAACTTTATTAGGATGTGGCTTTTAACCAGAATAAATTAAAATAAAAGAATATGAGCAGGACAAATTGCCATTCGAGGGCATTGCCCCTGAATGGTGTTAGGTGTTTCCAGGTCTCTTAGTCTGCAGCTATCAAGGATGATGCTGCTTGGATTCACAAAATGTTGAGGTTTAGACCGAGGACTGTAACAAAGGTGTTCAGGGTGCTGGGCTTCAGGTGTAAAGACCATTGAGAAGAAATCTTAGATGGCAGCTCAGTGGTAGATCATGTTTTCTGAAGTTTTTATAAAATACATAGATACTCAGGGGAGTAATTTTAGGCTGACAAGAATTTGGAATCGACTGCTGCTTGTAAGTGCTGCAGAGATCCTCCTAAGAGGCTGCTGAAGCCACTGGTTGTTTAATACCATCTTTCGATTTGCAGGGATGCGATTGAGTTCCTGTGTTAGTAGTAAAGTCATTAGCTCAATTCAGTGTGCAGTAACACTAAATATATACCAAGGGCTGATGATCTCCTGTGGTAAAGGAAGGTTGGATACTATCCTTTGAGACTGCAGTTGTGTTGGATACACGTTAGTTTCTGACGAAGAATTACACAGCAGCAGCTCTGAGCCGTGCCCTCACATCTTTGACTCTTAGTACAGCTGAGTGAGGCGACTTCTTTCCTGCTGTGCCTGTAACACATAGATCCAGTACATACAAAGGGAGGTCTTTACCTTCCATTAAATTGCTTGGATGAAAAGTAATCTGTTAGCACACTTCCTTCATAAAGGATATAAACATAAAGTAGTTCAAATGGGTATTAGTTCTGCTAACTAGCAGAGAGGCCCAACTTGGAGTTGCCTCTGCTTTTAGGATAGTCTTCTAAACCAACTGGGCAAAGCTACTTGAGTCTGCAGTGTGCTTGGAAAGGAAATCACAGTGTAGTGCTCATTGATTTAAGACGGGAAAGAAATACTATTCTGAACATGATACTCAAGGCTGAGCAAAAATGGGTAAAGGATAGAGGGAGAATTCTGATGCGTGTTTATCTGTGAGGTACTGCAATTTCTGACATTGGCAGCAAGGGTTAGCACAGAGTGAAGGGTCCTTAGGTACCTTTGGAGGCTGTAATCACCTACCCAGGTGTGAGCTCTCGGGGACGTTGGGGATGGTCACAGCAGTAGAGAAGAGTGTCAGTGAAAATGGGTGCACTGGGGTGTGTGCCTGGGTTGGGTTTATCCGTAAGCTCTCAGTCAAGAAGTTTTGTTCAGTAAGAAGGAAAGAGGGAGCGAGACCATCGATCTCCTCCTTAAACTCATGCTTGAAAACAATCTTTTTCAGAACTTTCCTGGTAGCAAGTCTTAGGTCTGGCCCATCCTGTTCTCACAGTGAGACGAGGTTTTCGGGCGGCACTCCTAGCACGTAGAAGGACACCACATGCTCCCACTGCTGAGTCTAATTGGTCATTTTACCTGATTACAGGATAAAATCAGTCTGCTTGTCTCAGCTAATTCTCTTCGAGTTGGTTGTAATGGTTTATAAACACTGTAAATGAAAAGGAAACCTTTAAAATATTTTACAGTAACAAAAAACAAGAGAAGTAAAAATTACTTCATGTCAGTAGAAGGTGAAGTCAAAAAGACTCACCAGTTTTTAACTCGTAGACGTTTGGGGCGTTCAGCATCAGATCTAATAGCAGCCAGGTTGCTTTCAGGTTACAGAGGCAGAGCTGAACGATGCTGTTGTCAAGTGATCTCAAAGCTAATCTCTGTATTACACTGTAGTAAGCCGGAGCAATGGAAGAGTTGCTTAGCGATATCTCGTAATCTCAGATCTTAAAAAGTAAGTCTGCTTTCTCTTAATTCATACGTTACAAGTTAGTTGTATGTTTGAGACTGAACTTGGCAGAGGAAACAGTTTGGGTATTTGCTGAGTCTTATCTGCGCTGCAGCATCTGATCCCAGTGACCCTGCAGATGGCATTATTTATACTGACCCAGTTCTGAGACATGCTGTAACTTCCTTAACAAAACGAATTGTCAAATTCATGTTCAAGTACATAACATGAAACACCCCCCCCCCCCCAAAATTGAGGCAAACACTTCATTCAGTGCTGTTTGAGTCAATGTTTTTGTGTCTCAATTCATACTTTTTTTATAAAACCAGTTTTGGATTTTTTCACTGAAATTATCATTAAAGACCATTTCAGTTCTGTCTGCTCACAAGTATTTTTAACATAAATTGGCAGTATTTTTGTACGCTTTCCATTCTAGATCTCCAATGAAAAATAAACATTCCTTTGGTTATAAACACAGGGGTTTAATTTCACTTTGCACTGGAGGATTTTCAACTTCAGATGTTGATTTGAAACCATTTAAGTGGAAGTTTCTGAAGTATTTCAGTTTCTGAGTGTCCAGACTGGACCATCATAGAGACAACTTCGACAGTTTTCTTCTGCACCCTAAATTGGAGGGTTTGGAAACTCATTCCTCTGACCCCTAATTTCCTACTGGATTTTGTGTCTGGTTGAAGAGGGTGAGATGCTTTCCTCTTTGTGGCCTTTCTGTGTCATTCCTAGTGCACTGGAGAGCCCAGCAGTGTACGATGCTGCCTTTCCCAGGGCTGGTTATGCTGCTTCCAGAGCATTTTTCAGCTCGTGACATTCTTGATAATGAAAAGTAAAGAAAGTATTTGCTGCCACTGCCCCAGTGCAGCTTTGGTACCTCCTTTTGCAGCTTCACTGCTTTCATTTCTTTCCCTTCCTTCCTCCTCCTCCAGCCTTTCTGTAATGCCCCCAGTGGCCTCAGCTTTCCCACAGGGCTGAGCTTGGCTTTCCCCCTGCCACGTCGGCCTAATTCAGATCTGTCCTCCTGCTCTTCTCACTGCTTCCTGCACGCAGCACCAGACTGAAAGCAGCAGAGCCCGTTCGCTGCGCTTGGCTGCTACTCCCCGGTGGGTCTGAGCAGGGGCTGTTAGCAGAGCGTGTTCCCCTGGCGCTGCCCTGCTAGACCTGCATTCCCCCTCGGATGAACTTAAACCCCTGAGGCTTCATTGAAATACCTTTTTCTTTTTGATGACATCCCGATGATTTGCTGAACAACTGGTTTAATGTAGGCAGAAACTGTCACTGCAGCTTCAAATTAGTTTTATATTTGGCATAAAATGTTGAAGTAAAAATAATTCACATTTCCTTGCCGGGAGACGTTCTCTTTGCCGGCATTCCAAATTGAAGCAGGAAACCTATAGTGTCCAGACTCCCCGTGGTAGCTGACATACAATGGCAGCTTTCCAACATGCTTGCTTGTCCCTTTTACAGGTGTAGCAATGATGCAAATAGTCAGCTGCCCGTATGTAAAGACAGTCGCTACCACCAAGACCGGTAATTTTCAAAACCATCTTAGTTCGTTTTGTCTGTAAGTTGGCATGGTAGTGAATGTTGTTGTTTATCTTTTATTTATTTATTTGCTTCCCCAAGTGAATGAGTATATATGCTTGATTTTTCAAAACCAGTATAAATGCAAATATCATATTTGGCCAGGAAATAACTTTCCCAAATAACTGTTAGTGTTAGCTTATTTTGTACAAGAACCCAGTACAGTTTTCTGTAATCATTGAGTTCTGTAATGACTGTGAATCTCTTCATGCCCATACTTCTTAGTTACTAGTTCCTTGTGTGTGGATTTTTGTTTCTCCTACTTCCACCTGTGTGGTGACATGGCTGTGCTCGCATGTTGGTGTGCGTGTCTGTGCGTCTTAGTATGAAGTTTCATTTTTCCAATTGTGGATTTAAGAAAAGTCACTTTTTGGCAATGTGTAATGTGTGCTTTTCCATTATCTAAAAAGACAGACTTTTCATAGAAATGTTAAGGCTCAAAACTATGATCCTGTAGTTCTAATACTATCTAATTTGTTTTTCTAGAATTTATCTTTCAAAATGTGTTGAGTACATCCATTCTGTGGGCTAGGTAGAGGAATACTAGGATAATGCAGCATTCTGGCTTTCTGATCTTGGGATATTTACTTGCCATGTTGCTTTAGGATGTGCATAAAATGTTTTTCCAATCACTGCAGTACTAAACAAAACTGTCACACAAGCTGAAATTGTTTCACTCCCATCAGCTTTCACCTAAGGCTCTGAATTCACGTCAGCTTTAAGTCAGGGTCTAAGATATAGCAGAGTTCTGCTCTGTATTACATGGCTCAAACTTGAGCCACTGTTATCTTTTTCCACGAGCAGTCGGAACAGCTCTTAAAATGACAACTTAATTACACAGTGGAGTAGATTATTTTAAAAAACAATTATTTGTTACACAGACCTAATAAAGACTTTTTAATAACTAGAGCACTTAGTTTCGAAGTGTGAAAGCAAACATCTAAAAGCTGATCTGTGCTGTGCAGAACTGCACACGACTCAAAATAAAAAGCTATCTGATTTGCCTGGTAATAGGGGCATTGCTGAGTGTAAACCAGGGAGGAAATGGAGTCGTAATGCATTGCTTTACAGCTTAACTGGAAATCAATCTTTATGTTTATTTATATAGGTTGATTGTTTGTAAATGAAGTCAGTGAAGTGCTAGGTCTCGGTCCTGAGGTGATTCAAGGTCACTTACTGTTTTCTTTCCTTTCTCCTTTTCTTTTTCCTTTCCCCCCTTGTGCAGGTGTCCTCCCGGGCATGGCCCCTCCCATCGTGCCCATGATCCACCCTCAGGTCGCTATTGCTGCTTCTCCGGCGACACTGGCTGGGGGCCCCGCCCGGGTGGAGCCACAGCCGTCTCCGAGTGGACAGAGTACAAAACAGCAGATGGAAAGACTTACTATTATAACAACAGGACTTTGGAGTCAACATGGGAAAAACCCCAAGAACTGAAAGAAAAAGGTACTTTTTTTTTAATCCAGCTGTATACTATTGCTTCAGCCATTAATGGTTGTGTGTGAAAGCATGAGCAAGAATATTTCTAATCCCTCATCTCCCTTAAGAATATTTTGAAATTGGAAGTATCGGTCTGAGCTGGTCTTGAGTCTGAAAGCCATGGTCTCTTTGTTTCCTATGGTTTTGTAAGAGTATTTGGCTCTAGCGTTGCTTCCAAATCCTGTGACACTTGGGTAAACGTGTGTTTCCACTCCAGCAGAGAGTAAGTCCTTTACATACTCACGTGTTGGAGAAGATCTCAATAGCAGGAGGATAGGAAGTGAGGAGAAAACTCAGTTATTCTAAAGACTGTAAACCAGGAATGAAGGAAGATGACTGAAATGCTAAACTTCAGATCTTCAAGAAGTATATAAACAGATTTGGAATCTGAGGAAAAGCAAACTACCTCCACTGCCACCATCCCTACGCTGTATTCAGGTCCTGTTCTGTGACTTGTGTTCATCTGGATCCACATTATACCCATCGGTTTTTGTTATATTGGAGGGAAATTGTTCTTGTATTACTAATAAGGAAGAAGAGGCAAAATCCTGTGACTTCTCCATGAGTTTTTCTCTTTTGTTTTCTTGTCATCAGCATTCAAATCTAAAAGTGGTCTTCAGTGTCGCACTGTTGGTTGCAACTCTTGTTGATAGTTTTATTCGTGTTTCAGCGATTTCTCTTGGTACACTTTAATTACCTCTTCCATATTATAGGCTGCCTTTCGTTTTCCAGTTCCAAGTAGGTCTCGGTACAGGAGATAATCACATCCTCATAGGAGATGCTGGAAAGCCCAAGCAGGACAGAAAGTGGTGAAAATACATTAAAACTAAGTTTTGTTTTGTTGTTGTGCTCGGAAAGTCATGCTGATAAAATCAATCCATTGGGATTTTATCCTGGTTTCCTAATAAGACTAAGGAAAATTCTATCTTTATGTAGAAAAAATGGAAGAGAAGATTAAAGAGCCAATTAAAGAACCCACAGAAGAGCCTTTACCCATGGAGACAGAAGAAGAAGAGCCAAAAGAAGAACCTATAAAAGAACTTATAAAGGAGGTAAAAGACCTTGCAACCAAATAGTCAGTATCGCCATTTTGAGTCCTACATCCTACAGGTGTGGATGCATCTGTAGCCCAGGCATATTGACAGGAGACATGGTTAGTAATTTGAGTTCTTACATTCCTGGGGGGATTTGAAAGCCTTCCTTTTTGGATTCATAGCTCTATTTTTTATTTTTTTTTTTTAATTTTTATTTTTTTTATAAATTTTTTCACCTAAGGGAAAAAGGACATTTAAAAGAAAACTACATGAGTGAGAACATAATAAAAAAGCTAGCTAATGACATAAACATGATGTTCTCTTGCTCATTTTGAGGTGTTCAGAGAAATGAAACTTGTCCTGAATGTCTGAAATCTTTAATTTAACAGGTTTTCTCCTCTATTTCTTGACTTCTTTATTTTGAACACTTCTGGAACAAAGCTTATACATCCTTCATGAGCTGTAGCTGCTAAGTTTAGTCTGGCAGGAACACATGTCCTAGGAAAGGCCTGTAGTGTCACCACTGCAGTAAGCAGAATTAACTCTTTTCCTTGTACAGCATTTTGTCACACTGAGGAACAGAGTTCTTGAAGATGCCAAAGTGTTTGAATGACAGTTAAAGCTTTTATACTGATTTCTGTGAGCTTCAATGTAACTTGGTAGGCAAAAGCACAGAATTCAGTCGCTGGTTTTTATTAGCTCTCAGCCCTGGTTACTTTTGAGAGAGTTGCCAGTTTGCTCATTTCTGCTACAGAGGTTACTGCACATTTCTGACTGTTTCATTGTCCATGTCTCATTTTCAAGTAAATGAATTCTAAGAATAAAATAAAATTTCTTTCTAAGAAAGTACATCATTGCCCCTGTATTCAGGCCTTGATGGAAGGATTCATGTGGCTCTAGGAAGGCTGCACTGAAGTCAGAAGTTAAGTAAACACCTCGAGGTTTTCTGAATTGAGATTTCTCAATAGCAGCTCCTGTTGAAATTCCAACGTTTCCATTTTAAGCATGGCAGAAGTGTAATTGGGAGCTGTTTGTTAGCATGGTTTCAAAATACATTTGCCTGTTTAAAGCAAGTTAGTTACTTTATAATAGATAATTTTCTACCTGTCAATGCCTGAATCCTGTAACTTCATTTTTCCTTGAGGAGCCTAAAGAGGAAGAAATGACTGAAGAAGAAAAAGCAGCTCAGAAGGCCAAGCCAGTGGCAACTACTCCTATTCCTGGAACTCCATGGTAGGTAGTGGTAGTACGGTGGGACTGAGGTGCCAGGAAGGTTGCTGGGTAGTCAGAACCAGTAGTAGTGTGTGAAGATCCTGTTCTTGGTGTGCCTCTGTCTCAAATAACGTTGGATTCCTCCAGCCAACACTGATTCCTGCTCCTCTGGTATGAAACACCACCAAAAAAATATCTTGGACTTCTTTTGCCCTTATGCCTTGGGAATGAGTAGGTGCTGCTCCTGGCCAAAACAACCCTTCATTTATTTTTGTCTGGGTGTGGTAACTGTGCTGGATGCGTGGAGGCAAAGGTAACACACACCTTCCTGTCTGTCCATTGCACTTCAGGTGTGTGGTGTGGACTGGTGACGAGCGTGTGTTCTTCTACAACCCAACCACTCGTCTTTCCATGTGGGACCGACCAGATGATCTCATTGGAAGAGCCGATGTGGACAAAATTATTCAAGAACCCCCACATAAAAAAGGAATGGAAGAAGGAAAAAAACTTAGTAAGAGCATTCTTACTGTCTTCTTGAGAAGCCTGCGTAGAATTTGTCATTTTATGTTGATTTCCAAAGCTAGTAACATTTCAATAAGTGAGAGAAATTTAGGGGCATACTGAAAACTGCACATAGCTTTGGAATTTCAGAGGGCTGGTGGGAATGCAGATTTATAGTCTTTTTTGGGGGAAAACCCCAGTCTATTGGAGAAAGTAGATACTAACAAGATTAATTTGTTTTCTAAATGCCAACAGGCTGGAAAAAAACCAAACATTTTTTACTGACTAACACAAGGGACTGTGTGTGTTTTTATAAGCAAGAGGAATTTGGGGGCCAGAGAATATTAATTGTAACGTATGAATGGGCTCTCATGGAAAAGGATTTAACTTAGAGAGCATCAACTGGAATGCAGTTTTGGAAACAATTGCCAAGAGCAGAGAGCATTCAGGGGGCTGCTGAGACAACACTTGTTTCTGGCATAAGTTCTAGTAAATGATCCTGGGATGAGATGAGGGCTTGGTAGTTGGAGGAGAGCAAAGTGCAAGTAGGTACTTGGGATCTCCAGCTGTGCTTCATTAGACTGTTTAGCTTGAGGGTTTTTTCCCCTGGGTCAGTGTTTGTCGTTTTAAACCCAGAGTTGGCCAGAAGTCCGTTTGGTCCTGCCACCAAATTCCACCAGTGCTGTTCTGAAAGCGACTGAAAAGCACGCATCTTCCTTTGTCAGAACACGTTATTGCTGCACACATTGTCCTCTGGTTTTGCACAAGGCTTCATTTGTAAATTGCTAACTTCTCATAAATACAAAATCTGAAGTGTTACTGAAATCTGTTACAGTTCGGGAAGAGCACGAAACTGCAGAGGAAGCAAACGACGACGAGCCCATCAAAATTAAAAAGCGCAAGTAAGTTTTTGTTCTTCACTGCTAAGGGTCTGCGTAGATAAAATAACTGAAGTTTTTCCTCAGTGTGTACTCAGCAGAGTAGAACAGTAACTAACAGGAAGGGTGAACATAATTACCAGCCTCCTGCCGCTGTACGTCAGCAGCTCAAGTATTCCATATTTCTCTGAGATAGCTGAAACTCATGTATAGAGGTAAGCCTTTGGAAATCACTCAAAATGGAAATATAAGTTGGTGAATCCAAGGAATATTTTGAGTGCAGTTTATCTTAAATAGTTTACTTCTGGTGCTTGTTTACCTGGCTTGTTCCTTCCTGTGCACAAGAGTTTGTTGCCAAAGCATCCAACCATCTCTAGCCATCCACCATCATAATGACTGCTCTGTTTTCACTCTGTTACAGAGGTTTAAGAGTTTTGTTGAGGTCTTTTGGTCTGTTTTGCCTGTTGGAAGCGATACATGTCACCTCACTCAGAGTTACACACACCGCTTTACCGTTTTGTTTGTTATTATGTACTCTTAGGGCTGATCATCAAGTTGTTGGCTGTTAGGGCTTTGGTTTTGTCTGGGACAAAGGACATTCACTCTTGGTGCCATTTGTAGACACTGAAGTTACTAAGAGTACCCTGGTTCTTGAGCTCTTCCAGTATGACAGCACCCACATCCACGTCCCAAAGAATGGCTTTTGTGATTTGTAAGCCTATGCTTCTGCAGTAACGGTGTCTCCATTCTGTCCTGGTGTGGTTCAGTGTCTAACTACAGGGTTCACATGCACTTCTCAAGTTAAACTGTATGTTGCATTTTTTTCAGGAAAGATGATAACAAGGATATTGACTCGGAGAAGGAGGCTGCTATGGAAGCTGAAATCAAAGCTGCTCGAGAGAGAGCCATTGTTCCTCTGGAGGCTCGGATGAAACAGTTCAAGGACATGCTTCTGGAGAGAGGGGTCAGGGAAAGCTCGCTCTGTCTGTCTGTCTTTGTGCAGTTGTGAGCAAATTTGAAAATCTGCTTGATACCCATCAGTTTTGATAGAGAAATTAGGCTATTAGAATATAAATTTATATAGTAACTTTAAAAAATGGAAGTGGTTCCAGCTGTCTGTGCAGCTTTCATTGAGTTTCAATAGCTGGGTTTTATGGGGTGGGTTTAATAAAACTTATTTAAGGTGAGCTTGAACATGTTTAAATCGATGTCTCTTGTAGCAGAACTGTTTACACTTGTAACATTTAGCCGAGGTATACAGCAGGCGTGGGACATGAGAACAAAGGACCTCAAGGCTTTCAGTGTCACACAGTAGTAATGAAGCATGTGTTGTTATTTAGCAGTTTTCAGAGCCAGTCAATGCAGAAACTTGCTATGGCAGCCTCTATCTATTGGTAATGAAAACTCCAGGATGAGGGTTTTTTTCCCTCTTTTCATCAGATGTCGTATAGTTTTCAAGCAAAACTGCACAACTTCTGTGTATCTGAGGCAACTTAGCCACTTGTTAAAATCTGGCTGTTTTTTAATTGAAGGTTTCTGCTTTTTCAACGTGGGAGAAGGAGCTACACAAGATAGTTTTTGATCCTCGTTACTTACTTCTCAACCCAAAAGAAAGAAAACAGGTAAAAGAGAAGTTGGATTCCCTCCCCACCAGACACAGCTACTGCTGCTTTCTCTAAGTCCTCTGTCTGCTGTTTTTGTTCCTGCCAACCTTCCAGACTAATCAGTGTTGTTTAGTGATGAGTAGGGTTTGTCTCAAAACAGAAGAAACGTGTAGGAAAAGTGAGTTGATAGTTTCTCTTTTTCTTGTGGTTGGAAGGTCTGATATTTCAACCCAGCGAAAGCTGTGCATGCAGGGAGCTCCCAGACCTGAATGACATGGTGAGAGTCATCAGTATCTCTTCCAAATATTGATGTAATGAGTAATCTGGCTGTTTATTAAAACAGAAGTTTGTCTTCAGGTGGAAAACTTTGAGACTACAGGAGGTGTCTGCTGTCTTAAGCAAGTGATCCAGGAAAATGTTAACATAAGATAACTGTGTAAGAAACTCCTTCATGGGTCTCAGAGTAGTGTTTAGATACACACACCACATGCTCAGCAGATCAGAGTGATTTGAATATTCAGCTACAAAGAGTCCCTAACCCTTCTTTCTACCTCCTCTATGTTGGCTCTATGGGGAGAGGAAAGGAAACAGGAGAAAAGGAAAGAAATGGGATTTTTTTTTCTCCTCTTGCCTAGAGCTTGTGTGTCTTGGGATTGGTATGTTCTGTGCTGGTGACTGGTGTTTCTATAGGTATTTGATCAGTATGTGAAAACCCGGGCAGAGGAGGAGCGCAAGGAGAAGAAAAACAAAATAATGCAGGCCAAGGAGGATTTCAAGAAAATGATGGAAGAAGCAAAGATTAATCCAAGGTAGGACCTGCTTTCTTGTTCGTATGCATAAGCTCTATTAGAATGAAGTATGTTGGGTGGTATTAGGTAGATGAATGGGCAAAGATGGGAAAAATCATCAGATACTGTTGAAATCTTTTTCTGCTTGTATTCACCTAAGCCCTGAAATAATAGAACTTGTGATTTATAATTATCTTCATATTTTAAGTCCTTTTGAAGAAATCCCCAGCGTGCTCTCCAGCTTGTGAGAAAACTTGTGGTGGATCATGAGGCCTTTCTTGAACAACCCTGTTTCTTGCTGAGGGTATTGGTAGTCTCTGAGGAGTACGAGGGTGGTTTCTTCAGTTTGTTTTTCTGGTTACAAAATATGTTAATAATGATATGATAGAATGTTGTGGTTGTTTTAATACAGAAATTATTACATACCCTTCACATTCAGACCCACTTGCAGTGATAATAGCGAGGTGATGACAGTGAATGTACAAACATCCAAGATTTTATTGCTAGAGTTATTTGTTTCACAGTTTTCTCACATAGAGTTCATGAAATACATGCTTATGTCCCCAGATGAGTTCCAAAGCATTCTCTTTCAGCATCTCTTGGCTTATCTGGCATTGATTCTTTTACAGTGAAATAACAATTCATTTGTTTCACTCCAGCTTAATTTTTTTCAGTGCCCTGTTTTGGAGATCTGGTGGAAGCCAGTGTTATGTTAAATCCTAAATTACTTCAGGTCTGATTTGTAACTCTTATTTAAAACACCTGTCTGCTCATTTAATAAGGGTAGTAGGCTGGGAAGAACAGAGGCATGGAGATGTAAGAAAAAGCTCATCAGTAGTAGTTTAATGTATGTTTCAGAGGCTGACATGGACTGTTAGGTTGGCTTTGGTGTCCTCAGCTTCCCAGAAATCTCTGATGTGTCATATTGGGATTGACTCTTATCTGATTATGGGTTGGGGTGGGAAAGAGAGTTCCAGGTGAAATACTGTCTTGTTTAATTTTATCCTTTGTCTTCTGGTTTCAGTGTTTGTCTAAAGATATTGCTGTACTTCTGTGAGTGCCAGACTGGGTTTTTGTCATCTATCTCAGTCCAACATGCCCAAGAGTTTGTGTTCCACTCCACTTAAACAGCTCTTGTTCTTCAATATAGCTTTGCATTCACTTTCTAATCTTTTGAATAAGCTACCAAATTGTCTTCTTGTTTCAATTTACCCTACAGCAACAGTAGGCTGGATTTTCCAAGTCTAATTATTTCCATGCTGTGATGAAAACATTCGTATGATTATAAGTGTCTCACGTATTCTTGGGGCCAGATTTGCATCAGAGCTTGGAAAAAGCACAGTAGTGGTTTTTTTCGAGGTAAGTGGCAGTACTATATCTACTGCACAGGTTGGAATCTGGCCCTGGAGGTGAGAGAACGGTCAGGGAGATGCTATGGGGATAACGGGTTGAAAGCCCAGTATTGCTGCATCTCCCCTGGTGTTTCAAGTATTTCCAGCTCCAAGTGGTTTGAGATTGGGCCATGTTATGTTCACCTCAGGAGGAAAAAGGGACTCAGCCAGTGTTCAATTGTGCCTAACACCAAAAGGTGATTTTCCTGGTGAACTCTTAGCATGATTTGGCTGCAAGTGAATGCACGTACAGTTTTCAGTTTCACAGCTGTGACACACCAGGACAGACACCCGCTGGCTGAACTGCCAGCCCCAAAACGGAAGATTTTTCTAGACAACTGAGTTTTTCCATTTCTTCTTCTTGATTGCTTTGTAGTCTCTCTTCCTACACCTGCACTTTCTGCAGGTAGCTGTATTCCAACCAACCCACCCACCCTATAAGCCTCTGACGATACCTCTTGTGTGCGTGCCTAAATCCAACTCCTCTCTACATAGCTCACTGGTGGAGCATTGCTATAGTGAGACCATAGGATGGTGCCTTTTTTTGTTCTTTTTTTTTCCCTCCAAACTGTGCTCTGCCATGTATTCTAGCAGAAGCAGTGTTTCTCTGCT